TCATACAAAAAAACTCTGAAAATGTAACTAAAACTGTATTCTGTTTGCATAATAATAACACAATCATCCTTGTCATACAATAGAAAGTAGAAGAGAAATTCAACTTGTGAATTAAAACTGAGAAAGGGGCAAATTTGAGTACTGGAAAGTCTTCAAATGTAGAGGAATTGATTTTGTAACTCTGCTTCATGGCTTTAAAATTATTGTCTAGGTTTACTGAAAAATACAACAATTATCCATGTAATATGCCAATTAGCAGCTGAGCAATCAAGTGACACAATAAAAATAAAAATCCTTTGTCATTTGGCCAGCAGGTGGCACTTGTCACTCAGTATAGAAATCAGTGGGCAATGAAGAATGAAGCTGAAAGAGGAATTAGGAACAGATTACTCATGAATCTATTCAGAAGGAGAAAGATGGGAACAGGTTGTTTCAGAAGCACATTTTGTAATGAGGATCTTGGCTTGTCAGTACAGCTTATCAATTACATGGAGAACAACCCCTGTACTCTATAAAGTGCACCGCAGGTGACAGATCTTGAATGTGAGCTCTCCTATTTAGGTATACTGAACTTAGGCATTTCCCTTAACAAATATGATTTGCAATGTAACAGTTTGTTGCCTTTATAAGTGTTCTCACGCACTTTTTGTCTGTATTACTCTTATGAAACTGTGAGAAACATAGTGCTGGAATTAGGCAAAAAAGAAACAAAATCCAATTTCACCATTTAAAGAGATGTGATTTGGTTCAACTTATTTAACTTTTTTGATTTTAGTTTCCTCTTTGTTAAAAGGTAAAATTAGCTGGAATGTTATAGGAATTAAATAAGATACCATGTGGAAATGATATCTTTGGACCTATCTACTTCATTTTCTCCTAGAGGGCTTCACTTCCTTCATTACCTCCTAATGGTAAAAGAGGTATCCTAATCATGGGATAACCACAAAACCTAAGATCCAGAAAGATCTTTGATTTACCCAGTAAACACTTCATTGTCCAGATCAGGATGCCTGCCTCCAAGGAAGCCAAAATGTAAGAGATAAGAAATACGGTGTGCAGGTCTAGGTCATTTTTATATTTGCTTCCAGGTCTGGTCAATGGATAGGTGGCCACCGGCAATGGGAGGCAGAAAGAGAGAACAGGAGGTAGGAAAAGAATAATTACATGGCACATATTTTATGATTTCCTGATACTGAGAAATTGGAGGAATGGACACCAACAGTAGATATCATGAATCATGGTAATAAACTTGATTCTCCAGTGGTGTCTAGCCTACACCCGAATTGTGTCTACACTGCACCTGGAGCCAATGGCCTGTTTTTCTGGCTTTCCCATCCTTGTTTATATCACATTCTAACATTTCTTCTAAAGGGCAGTCAGGAAGATGGTAAATTCACACTAAACTTTGGATATTTTTGAGTTTTGTTTCTGGCATCAGGCAGATAACACCAAAATACAGCTTTTGAAAATTTTTATGATTATTTTTGTGAAAAGAGGAAATTGAGATCATCTTACAGAAATCTTCTATTCAGCAATTACCATATCATAATTATATATGAGTTGTATCATTATAATGACTTGCACCATTTTTAAAAGATAGATATGCCACATAAATACTAGGTTTACTTTTTAAAATGCATAAGCTTAACATGTAATTTAAAAGACTGATTCCATGAAGGAACAAGTCAGTGCTCATCTCCGAGACTTCCTTTATGTTGTTCTTCTCACCTGGAATGTACTGTTTTTTTCCCCCTCTATTTTCCCTAAATAGATTTTCACAAGTTAAGTGCCACTTCCTCTATGAAATTTTCTTTGAAGCTGCCCTCACCATCTTTTTGTAGAAAACTTTTATTATAGTTTCAGTTCAGACAAGTATTGAACTAATGTTTTCTTATAGTAGTTGCTAATTTTTAAATAGCTATTGGACAAGACTATATATTATCTGTATTATTTATTAATTCAACATCTATCTATTGAGTACTTAGTACATGCCAGGCACTTTTTGGGATAATACAGATTAACAGTCAGTAAAACCAAGACTATCTCTGCTCTCTTGGAGCTAACATTCTGTTATCAGAGTTACGTTGTGTTCCCCACAATACCCAGCCTGGGACAGACCCAAGCACAAGTATGTACTCAATGACCACCTCAAAATTAAATGGTCGCCTGTGGTTAGGGAAACCCCAAACCAAAGCTTTCCTTGATTATCACCAAAACAGAGTCAGTGAGAGGCACTGCTTGAAAATATATTAAAGATGCTAGGAATCTGCTAGGTGTGGTGGCTTATGCCTGTAATCCTAGCACTCTGGAAGGCCAACGCGGGCGGATCGTTCAAGGTCAGGAGTTCGAAACCAGCCTGAGCAAGAGCGAGACCCATCTCTACTAAAAATAGAAACCAATTAATTGGCCAATTAAAAAAATATATAAAAAATTAGCCGGGCATGGTGGCACAGGCCTGTAGTCCCAGCTACTTGGGAGGCTGAGGCAGGAGGATTGCTTGAGCCCAGGAGTTTGAGGTTGCTGTGAGCTATGCTGATGCCATGGCACGCTAGCCCGGGCAACAGAGTGAGACTCTGTCTCAAAAAAAAAAGATGCTAGGAATCTTTTCACAAGAGGATTTTGTGAAATTTTCCTTTCACAAAAGGACAAGGGAGAATGGTGAGGATTCTTATGTCCTTCCAACTAATGGCAGTAGCTTTCTACATAAGTAGTGCTAAACTTCTTTCTTTACATTTGAAACAACCCTGGCTTAAATTTTTATGGAAAAAATCAATTATCAAGAAAGAAACAATAAGCAGAACTGATGGCCCAAATCCATTATTCTATCAGCTGCCATCAAAATCACTACCTCAAGGATAACTAAAACATCCAATCCTAAACAAACAGCCAGCTAATTAAGTCTTTGTAATTGGCACTATTGCTATCAAAGGGTAAGCTCTGGTCTCTACAGGAAAGGAAAAAAGAAAAAAACAGAGATGACAATAAAGATAAAATCAATTCAGAATGTGTTGGATGCCTTCACAAAAGCAAGCAGTAGTAAATAAGAAACAAAATAAAACTAAGATATTTCATAATGAAAATATCTGAATTTACCAAATTATTTATTAAAAGGCTGTGACCCCTTTATTTCTGACTTGTTATTAAACCCATGACTAAAGGCCTTAAAAACTGTAGAAAGTTGAGCCACTTTTTGGAGGTGGGGAGTGCAAAGGAGAATGTTTCCAAAGTGACTTTCAGTGTCTTTCCTAGAGAGACCCTAAGGATCCAGGCTAAAGGGAAGGAACAGGCCTCACTGGCTGCCATCTCAGGTGGTATCTACTTGCACTGCAGATCACTAGCAAGGTGGGTGAGGCAAAAAAGATAAAGTTTATCTTCTAAGATCCCAGGAACACACGTAATAGTATGGTGCTAAAGCATGAGGGTCTTAAGTCCCACCCTATCACTGAATTTTCTATTTTAATGAGCATGTTATTTTCTGATGTGTACAGAGGAGTTCACACATCTGCATTACACTACTGAACTTCTCAAGTGCTATCTGAAGAAGCTGACAGGCTACACAATTCAAAAATTCTTAATTTGGGTGCTAATCGATAAAGCAAACAGAGATCTAATTACTTTATTAGTTATGAAAATAAAATAATATTTCTATATGCCATATTTTCTTACACCTGAAACTGTCATGGTTACCTATGTTTATTGATGATAATGTTTTATTCATTGAATTTTCTTAACAATTAAATATGGCTTTCTGAATTAATAAATTAACATACATACATACATATATATATATATATATATATATATATAGTGCAGTGATATAGTAATAGCTCACTGTAGCCTCAAACTTCTAGGCTCAAGCAATCCTCCTGTCTCATTCTCCAAAGTACATGGGACTATAGGCATGTGCTACCATGCTCAGCTGATTTTTTAATTTTTTATAGAGATAAGGTCTCACTATGTTGCCCAGGCTGGTACTGAACTCCTGGGCTCAAAGGATCCTCTTGCCTCAGCCTCCGAAAGTACTGGGATTACAGGTGTGAGCCACCCCACCCAGCCTTAATATCTTTTCTAATAACTTTTTTATTATTATTGATATTTTTTTCTTTGTTGAATTTTGAGTAAATTTTTTTTAATTTCAGAATATTAATTAAGGCTGGCTGGGCACGGTGGCTCACACCTGTAATCCTAGCACTCTGGGAGGCCAAGGCAGGAGGGTGGCTTGAGGTTAGGAGTTCAAGAATAGTAATTAAGTGTTTTTGTTACAAGGATATCTTGTATAATGCTTAAGGCAGGGCTTTTGGTATGCCCATCACCAGAGTACTGTTCGCTATACCCAACAGGTAAGTTTTTATCCCACACTTACCCTCCTGCCCTCCCCACTCTTGGTTTTCTCTTGTCCTTTGTATCACTTTGTGCCCATGTGTACCCATCTATCATTAATAGTCCCCACTTACTAGTGAGAACATACGGTGCTTGGTTTTCCATTCCTGAGATTCTTCACTTAGGATAACCGTCTCCAGTTCCCTACGCATTGCTCCAAATGACTTCATTTCATTCCTTTGTTTTAAAAGCACTCTTCACCTTAAAACTACACCCTCAGAGAAAAAGCCTAATGACATAAAAGACAGCCTACCCTTTGGGGGACACAAATAATTCTGTGTCCCCACCTGGACTACATGAACTCGGATATGCTGGTTGACCTCTGTGAAACTCTCCATGTAGCTGTAGAGTGGAAATAAATGTCTTTATTCCTCACATGCATTATGGTGTAGATGGGCTTAGATATCACACGGACAGTATCTTTTATAGAACTCGCCTCTCTCCTCTGGACTCACCCTCTAGAATAGTCCTAAGGTCCAGAATTAAAAGAAGATGACAAGGAGGATGGAAAAAAGAGGCTATGCATTTTACTCAGGTAAACCCCACTAGTCAATTTGCATATATGAAACCAACAACTCAAGAGTCACAGTAGAATTTGGAAAGAATTAAAGACAGCTCACCTGTAGCTGCTGTTCTATCAGTCTATTTTGATACCTTTGGACTGACTCTCTAAGTTGCTTCTCTTTCTCATTTTTTGATGATGATACTGTGTTCATGGTGCCCAGGGGGATGGAGGGTAGCTTTTCTACCTGATGACAACTTCAGAATGAACAAGTGCAAGATTAACAACAGGAAGAAATAGAAAACTATTTATTTACTGTCTGTAAAAGATGATTCGCTTCTACATAGAGTGACTCTTTTTGGTATATATCCAAAATTCAAATACAAAGGAAGAGCATTGTACTGATGACTTTAGGTTATACGAGACCTTAAATCTCCAATTCGCACAGAAAAGAGCTTGATGGTATCTATTTATGAGGGTGGGATAATATCAATTATTTTGTTAATGCTTCACTTATCCTACATTAATCACAAAATGAGGCCTTTTATAAAAATGTTCTTGAGATCACTGAGGCTTATCTCATGACTGCCAAACATTTTTTTCCCAAAAAAATCTGGCATAGAAACTTCAGTGTCTCTCTATAGCAAATACTTATGCCTCTGGAACACGTGGGTCATTTGTTAGGTGATGCCGGATCACTGTGAAGACCAGTGACTATGAGATGTGCTTCAGGCTTAGTGACAGCCTCAGGGCTCACTGAGATCTGTGTAGCCCCTTCACCCTGTAGCCTGACTGCAGCATCCTGTCCCAGTGCCCGTCCCCTAAGAGTACCTGCTTTGGCAGTCACTCTGCTCCCCAGCCTTACAGATGTGCGGTTTCTCATAACTAGTGGGTTAATACATGCCATATATAATTATGTAAAATTATTTGTAAATGAACAGCAGATAGGCTGTGGATGAGCACATTCCTCCCTATGGTTTCAAAAAAATACTAATGATTTTTAAAATATATAGTTTGGGAAGTTTCTAGGCCTTTTGTTTTTCTTACTTTTACTTTTGTGACTATGTACTGGGGAACTGAGTTAGCCAAACTATTGAAAAAGTCAGGTATTATTTTGTGCACCTTGGTTTCAAGGCTTGATGCAGATAAGAAGCTCAACTCTCACTGGGCACAGCTTTGACTCAGGGCACGGCTGGGGACGTGCGGCAAAATGTTGAGGTCAGTTCTTCCAGCATGCTCTAGATCAAGAAGTTTTCTACTATTCACTGGGGGAGGTATGTGGAGGAGTTTTACTCAGCTACCAAAAAGAGGAGTAAGGGACAAAGTTTGCAGAAAATATATGTGTTAGGCCAGGAGAAGGAGGAGGAGGTAGAAAATAGAGAGCCTTCTCCCATCTGAAACAGGGAAAACAAAACAGATCAGACCCATTATTTCTGTTTTTCAGGGCTGCAGCATATATTTTTCTTGCCCCCTACCAACTGAGAAGAGTGAGGAACTACAATCAAATCCAAGTATTACTATGAAAAACCACTTGATTTCACTCACATATGGTGTTTGTTATTATTGTTATTTTCAAAGAAAGGTGTTAGACAAACAAATCCTAGGGACAACCACTATATATACAGCAACCTGCAGTGTTGATTTGAAGACATCTGTGGGGTGGTACCTATATAGGCTTCTGTTTCATTTGAGAAAGGAACATGAAGTTTTTATTCAGAAAAGAGAAACCTCAGGTATTTTATTAAAATGCAATCCATTCAATTGTCTTCCTTTTAAAATTTCTGGAAATAAATTAAATTTTAATATGCAATATAACCCATAGATATTTTTAACATCCTTTTCAAAATTCAAACTTTTCTGGTTCAGCCAAGTAATAGGCATCATTTTCACCCTGCTGCTAATCCATATTTTCAATGCAGATAACGGCATAGCATGAATATAATAGAAGCATACTGATATCTATTTCTCAGGTGCTGTGTTAAAAATGTATAGCCTTCCTCTGTGCTTGAAATGGAAAACAAAACCAGGCTCTAGTGATTTGAAAAAGAATGGCTATGTTTTACTCTGTCCAGGTTACAAACCACAAATGCTACCATTTGTAAAATGGTATATTTTGGTCACTAAAAAGTATTTGAATGGAATCAGACATGCAAAAAGACACCTTCTCAGAGAGGGCGTGGTAAGGCAAAAGGAGTACAGGTTTTGCACCAAAGGCTTGGCTTCCAGTTTCAGGTCGAGGGAGGAATCACTGAACCTTTCTTAGCCTCTCTGTGTTCTCCTCTGAGAAGTGGGGAAGTTCTCTAGGCTTTTGTAAAGACAGAATGAGATAGCATATATCATTGCTAAGTAAGAGAAAGCTATTATTAGTTTGAACTTTTTCCTCCAAGAGCATAAAGCACTGAAATCAAAATATGACTTAAATAGGAAAAGCACACGGTCGAATAGTTTAATGCTCCTGGAGACACCCTTAGAGTAACACTCTTGTACGGGAGGGTTATATGTTGTGTGAAAATGAACTGGAAGGCCAGAAGCACTGGGTCATGGTCTCGCACTAGTGGAAGCGAGAGTTACACACCCCAATATTTGCAAATAGTTTATACAGATCTCTTTTATTTGATGAAAAAGCACACCAATAAAATAATCTTTTCACAGGTAACAAGGAGGTAGAAAAAATTTGAAGAGAGACCAGCTACTAAGCTAAAATCTATCTCTGACATTTTCCAGGTTCATGCATATGAAATTTAGGAATTAAAAATAGATAAAGATTTTTTTAAAAAACTACCTGTTTTCCAAGAGGTTAGGATTATTAGCACAAATCCAGAGGTCAAGTAATTCTTTTTCCTGATAATTAGTAGAGGAAGGTAAGACTCTCCATTTAAGACAAAGATCTGGTAATCAAAACAAAGTCACACACAAAAGAGACAATCAGAAATCAATCTGAGTAAGATGTCAGTTTGCACATACCAAAAGTATGAGGTATCTCTCAATTCAAAGACAAGTGAATCCTTCATCATATACCATTATGCTTGATGGTACAACTATTCTAAGACACTATGAGCTACTTTAGGATCCCACTAATAAATTATTATTGTTATTGCTTCAGTTCCTTCCAGTTAAGTTCTGCTACTTGCAGCCAAGAAAACCTTAAGTAATAGATCCCACTCTACCTCTTCATAAACCACATTAAAAATTCCAGTGAATTGACTCTCCCATTTTCTCTGACCCATTACCTCTCTGATGACAATACTTTCTGTGTCCAACCACATGACTAACAAGGTCTCTGGACCATGTATACATTTTTCTTCTTGTATACTTTCTTCTGCTCTTATCCCCCTCTCCACTCCACAGTTTCTGATTTCTTTGCCCATTTTCCCCTTACAGTCCCTCTTGGCCTTTAGGACCAGGCACACTGCTCTCTCCAGGCTACACTTCAGTTTAATTCTGAATTCCCTCCAGACTCACTGCTCCTGGCTCTTAGGTAAATACTTGTCTTTGTTTGTCTAAGGCAGAGGAAGTTTGCACAGAGGTTAAGAACCTGAACAGCTCCACCTCTTACTACCTCTATGATCTTGGACAAATTATTTAACTTCTGCTGTTTCAGTATCATTATCTGTAAAAGGAGACTATGTTAGTACTACTTAGCTAAAAAGGTTATTGAGGATGAAATGACATCATTATTATAATGATAAAAGACAATATTGATAGACACTATCATAAGCACTCAGTAAACTTTGCATTTATTAAATTGTATTATTCTTACAACTCTATGATGTAGCTACAAGTATTAATATCATTTAAAAATGAGGAAACTGTGGTTTAAAGAAGTTAAATAGTATGCCCAATTTCATACAGCACTTGGGTATTGGAGATTGAATTATAATACTACCTGGTACATTTCAAAAACACAAAGTAATTGTTAGCCATTATATTTATTATCTAATAAATTGTCACATACTGTCATTAATATATTCAATTACAACTTCTAAATATCTTTCATGTATGTTCCTCTTAACTCTCACTGCTACCCCTTAATTTAGACGTTTACAGTTCCTCACCTGGATCCTAGACTACAACAGTGTCTTCTCAGAGGTCTGACCCCTCCCATTATGGTAGCCGTCCACTAGCTAATTTTCACTGAGCTGCCAGAGTGATCTTACTACAAGTTAATCTGGCCAGTCAGGTCCTCCTTGCAATACTCGCAGGCAAGATGCTGGGGAGGTGCTGTATAGAGTTTTATACACTATAGGGTGCTTTTTTATTTGTTTGTCTGTTTTCTCCAATGGAGTGTTCATTGTAGATAGTAGAGATTTTCTTTAATTCCATAACCCTTTGAATAGTGGCTAGGAAACACATCAATAAGCATTCAATGATTCAAATGATGTTATCCACTATTGAAAAGCTTCCAATACTTCCTCATTGCTTATCAAAGTAAAAACCTACCCTGGCATTTAAAGCTCTCTAATATGTTTACCCAACCTAATATTTTTGTCTTTTGTTATTTATTCATTGTTCATTCAGTTGGTCAATTATTAAATTCCTACTATGTATTAGACATAGTTTTATATATTAAAAATAAAAACATGGTTGTTTCTTTACTCACCACAAACATTTTAGCTGAAGTATAGACCTGAAATTAACTCACATTCCCTATGATCCATCTCTGCCTATCAAAATTCTATTTTAAAGACTATCACAAAATCTACTTCTGTCACAAAATCTTGCCTCTACTAACCCCCATACTTTTCTCTGAACCCTCAAAGAACTCTTTGCCTCTATTACATCATTCACCTTATTTTTCTCTATATTAAAATTATTTTCATGCTTACTTTAATCTCTGTCCTAGACTGTAACCTCCTTGAAAGCAACAACCATGTCTTACCCATTTTCTTCTCCCTTATCCCCCATTTCTTAATCCAATGACTTCCATATTTAGGAACTCATTAATATTTGCTAATTAGAATGGAATTGAACACTTACCACACTGTATGATGAATGGGATGGCCATGGCTTGTCTTCTTTGATATTGAATAGAATCTAAAGGTTTATCCATGTCCTTGTTATTCTGGTATCCAAATTCGTTCCAAAACCAGGTTAAATTTCGATTACCTAAAAAAAAAAAAAAGCAAACAAGAATAATGAATGAAAGAAAATCAGCATGATCAACATGATTAGCATAGAAAATTTTGGATATAAATACATATATATACAGTATGATCTCAACTAAGTACTAATACATATGTAAAAATACTATATTAAAATAATAACCAATAGGTTATCTCTGAGTAGTGATATGATGAATGAAATCTGTTTTATTTTTTCTTGTATTTTCCAAATTACATGCAATATCTTTATAATAAAACCAAAGACAGTAACAGTTATAAAAAAAAAGTTTATACTTTCTTGTTGCAATAAAACATTTTGACATTTAAAGCATTATTTTAAAGTATTCCCAGGATAGACTGTACTGATTAAACTTTAAAGGCCACCCTTAAAATTATTGATACAAATATTTATCATTCCTATCTCATGGCCAGAGTTTTTTTTCTTTTTAACCTTTATCTCTGTTTTTTTTTCCATCCAGTCTTCACTGTTTATGCTCTACCCTAATCCCAAATTCTGTACACCCTCCTTGCTTAGAAATAGCAAATATTATGAAGGACCATTACAGAGTCCTCTTTAAGAGGCTGTGTTATCCTTTGATCTAGCAATTGTACTGCTAGGAAATTTCCCAACATACACAAATGGCCATATATATTATGGCATTGTTTAAACAGTAAAAAATTGGAAATAATGGAAAATCCTATGAATAAAGAACTGACAAATTTCATTCCCAAACAACACATCAGGCAACTTTTAAAGAGGGAGGTAGAGCTAAATGTAGTGTTGCATGCATCAATATTTTCAAGATATAGTTTTCATATTTTTTTAAAAAGGTTTAAAACAGCATCCCTTGTATAATTAACTTTTATAGTTTTTAAAAAGCATATGCATATAAAATTATGATGGACATACTTTTCTTTTTCTGAATGGATACAAAAGAAAGTTTTAATAGTAGATATCTTTAGAGCAGAGACAGTTGAGAGGAAGGGAAGGGAAAATATTTTTCACTTTTTACTTTTCTTAATACTTCAAATATTTTTACATGTGTGTATATTACTTGAAGTTTTTAAAAAATAATCCATGTTTTATTTTTTTACTCAACATGGTAACCAGTAACAAACCATAATCCACACATGGCCATTGAGTTCTTAAAATGCAGCAGATACAGAATATTGTCATCACTATAGAAATTTCAAAAAGCATGTTCTAAAATATAAATCTTGGAAATATATTAAATAGGGCCAGTTTTGCAACAACTTTAAACATACAGCTATGTAATCTGTAAAACCACAAATAAATAACCTTATACCTTACTTTTCCTGTTAAAATTTATGCTTAGAAAGCTATGGGCCTCGGAGACCAGCAGAAGAGGAACTCAGCCTTGTAAAGGGACTTTTTAGTTGGGTTAGGCTGAAAGCACACCTCACCAATTCCTAGATCTCCCTCACAAAATCCCTAGTTGCTCTTGCCCCAAGTTTTCTTTTGGAGTATGCTTTTTGGGCTTTCAATTCAGGCTCTCAGTTTCTCCTCTTTGCCCAGTATTTAGTCATGGTCTATCTCATGTCTACCTCTTTAGTCGTGGTCTATCTACTTCTTTGCATGCCAGATCCTAATGTACTACTCTCCAGTAGCTGGAAGGGCTCATGAGGCTTTGCTTCTCTGATTTCCACATTCACTATTTAGTCTTTACTATATCAAGGCAGGGGGAGGTTGTAGATAAAAAAAAAAAAAACATAGATCTGAATGTTGGCTCTGGCACATATTAGCTGTATAATCATGGGCAAACTACCACAGTAAAACCACCCAAAAGCTAAAGCTCAGAGCTCATAAGAAACATTAGCATAAGAAGTAAAACAAAGCAAAAGGTACTACACAACAGGATGAACAGAACATTATCCCACATACCAATTCTATCAATCAATGGGAACAGTCTGAATGCCCCACTCAAGAGACACAGGTTAGCTGAACAGATGAAAAAATACAACTCAAGCATTGCTATTTCCAGGAAACATATCTAATCCACAAGGACTCATACAGACTCAAGGTGAAATGATGGGAAAAAATATTTCATGCAAATGGAAACCAAAAGAAAGCAAGTGTAGCCATTCTCATAACATATCAAATTGACTTTAAATCAACAATGGTAAAGAAAGACAAAGATGGTCAGTATATAATGATAAAGGGAGCAATTCAACCAGACATAATAATCCTCAATATTTATGCATCTAACATAGAGTGCCTAGACTCATAAAGTGAGTCCTACTAGATCTAAGCAAAGAGATAAACAGCAGCATTGTAATTACCAAGGATTTCAACACCCCACTGACAGAACTAGACAGATTATCCAAGCAGGAAGTAAATAAACAAACATTGGACTTAAACGAGACTCTAGAACAAATGGACCGAACAGATATTTACAGAACATTTTACCCCAAAACTACTGAATACACATTCTTCTCATAAGAACATAGAACATTCTCTCCAAGACTCATCATATCTTAGGCCATAAAACATGTCTCAACAATTTTTTAAAAAGTAGAAATGATACCACGTATCTCCTCAGACCACAGTGGAATAAAACTAGAAATCAACTCCAAGAGAAACACTCAATTCGACACAAAGTCATGGAAATTAAACAACCTGCTGCTGAGGGATTACTGGGTCAATAATGATATTAAGATAGAAATCAAAAGATTCCTTGAACTGAATGAAAAAGGTCATAAAACCTACCAAAATCAATGGACCTTAGCAAAAGCAGTCCTAAGGGAAAAATTCATAGCCTTAAATATCTACATCAAAAAGACAGAAAGATCCCAAATTAACAATGTAATGACATGTCTCAAGGAAGTAGAAAAAGAAGAGTAAACCAAACCCAAAGCTGGCAGAAGAAAATAACTATTTTTAGTCTTCTTAAATAGAACAACTGCTAGCCAAGAATTCTGTATCCTGCAAAACTAAGTTTCATAAATGGTAAAGAAATGAAGACTTTTCAGACAAGCAAACACTAATTTGTTACACAAGTCCTTCCCTACAGGAAATGCTCAAAAGTATACTATGCATGGAATAGCACACTAGACACCCACCAGAGTAAAAAACATGAGAAAGTAAACATCACAGCTCTTATAAAACAACAGCACAAGAAAACAAAACAACAAGGTATCAACCAACATGATGAACAGAACAGCATCCCACATATCCAAAATACCACTGAAAGTGAACCGTCTCAATGTCCCACATAAAAGACATAGACTGGCTGAATGGATGAAAAAACACACCTAAGTATATGTCTTCTCCAAAAAACTCAGCTAATGCAGAAGGAGTTGCAGAGATTCAAGGTAAGAGAATGGAAAAAATATTCCAGACAAATGGAAATGAAAAGTGAGCAGGTATAGCCATTCTCATACCAGATAAACTATATCAGATAAAATGCACTTCAAATCAACAATGGTAAAAATGACAAAGATGGTCATTATATAACGGCAAAGGGAGCAATTCACCAAGAAGACTTACTAATTCTAAATATTTATGTACCTAACACAGGAGCTCTCAGATTCATAAAACAAATTCTACTAGATCTAAGCAAACAAATAAATAGTAGCATCATAACTGCCAGGGACTTCAATGCCTCACTGACAGAACTGGACATATCATTGAAGCAGATAATCAATAAGCAAGCAATGCATTTAAACAGGGCTCTAGAACAAATCAATGCAACAGATATTTACAGAACATTTTATGCAAAAACTATCAAATATCCTTTCTTTTATCATATTATGGGGATACAAATATTGTTAAGGGTACATATATGGCCCTTGCTACCCGCCCCCGCCCCCTGCCAAGTCAGAGCTTCGAATATCCTTTCTTTTCATCGGCACTTGGGACATTTTCCAAGATTGATTATATCTTAGGTCACAAAACAAGTTTCAATATCTTTGAAAAAATTGATATTATCATACTATGTATCTTCTCAGACCACAGTGGAGTAAAACTAGAAATCAACTCCAAGAGAAACTCTGAAATCTATACAAAATCATGGAAATTAAACAACCTACTGCTGAATATCCTTGGGTCAATGATGAAATCAAGAAGAAAATAAAAAGATTCCTTAAATTGAATGACAAAGGAGAAACAAGCTTTCGAAATCTATGGGATATAACAAAAGCAATACAAAGGGGAAAATTTATAGCCTTAAATGCCTACATCAAAAAGACAGAAATATAAATTAATGACCTGATGTGACATCTCAAGGAATTAGGAAAAAAAAAAAAAAGAATAAAACAAACCCAAAGCCAGCTAGAGAATGGAAATAACAAAGTTCAGAGCAGAACTAAACAAATGTAAGCCAAAAATATAAATAAAATACAAAGGATCAATGAAACTAAAAATTAGTTATTTGAAAAGAGAAGCAAAATTAATAGAGCACTAACCAGATTAACCAGAAATAGAAAAAAAAGGACCAGATAAACTCAATCAGAAATGAAAAAAGAGACATTACAACTGATACTGCAGAAATACAAAATATCACCCAAAAATACTATGAAAACTTTCATACACACAAATTAGAAAACCTAGAGAAAATATATAAATTTCGGGAAACACAAAGCTCCCATGTCTGAATGAGGAAGAAACAGAAAACCTGAACAGACCAATCATGAGCATCAAGATAGAAACAGTAATAAAAATTCTCCCAACATAAAAAGCCCAGGGTCAGACAGATTTACAGCCAAAATCTATCAGACCTTTAAAGAACTAAAACCTATCGTATAGAAATTATTTCATAATATTAAAAAGGAGAAAATCCTTCATAATTCATTCTACTCAGCCAGTATCACATTCCTATACCAAAGCCAGAAAAGGACACAACAACAACAAAAAAGAAAATGACAAACCAACATCGTTATGAATGTCCTTAGATGTAAAAATCTTCAATGAAATACTAGCAAACCAATTCAATAGCACATCAAAAAGATAATTCACCATGATCAAGTGGGTTTAATTCCAGAAAT